CTCTATAGTGGAATATATGTTGATAAACTTACTTGTTCTTTAGCAACTTTTGTGTATACGTGTAAATGTACGAAGCTTGTATTCTTGTGCAGAGAGCAAAAAGACGAATGTTTGAAAGCGTACGATATTCGAGATTGTAATGAAGTTAGTTGTATTAGGTAGTTGCTTTTATACGAGAAAAAATATCTCTATTTTCCCCTTTCTTTCTAATAAGACGAGATTTTTCTATGCATAATTGTTATTCACATGCACACAAGCACACAGTGACTCAGGTGAAAGAAGCAGAAAGAAGAGATGTTCTCGTAGGTTCGCTGTACACATCGATAAGAGAATGAAAGTAAAAAAGCAAGAAGAAAGAAAATACGCGGAATCATATTCTCTTTCCTCGTGTATACACCATATATGGCAATACAAGAGTGTACTTGATAGGGGGGAAGACACAAATATTTCAGTCAAATTGTGCAAAAAAATGTTGAGAAAACAGACGCGAAAATCAGCCTGATTCAAGTTGATGACTAAATCATCAACACTGTAGAAGAAATTGCTCAAGCCCCGCTGACGATTGTGTAAAATTTGAGTTTAAACTCTCGAGGAAACCTCGCCCCGTTTTGAGAGTTCTGTTAGAACCACTGAGGTGCTAATTTTCAAAAGATTTTTAGGAAATACAGGTTATTATTACTTCGGAATATCAACATATACTCAACCTCATTTTATACTTGAGATAAGTAAAAGACACTCGGTTACTTCTCTAGAAAACCGTTTCAAGCCCCAAGTAATTTTAATTGGTTGGTACAACTTTTATTGTATTTCAGAGAATAGACTGTTAATAATAGAGTGTTAATTAGAGTGTTTGTGTACATAGTGAGTATATATCATGCCACACTTGCAGTGAAGGGGGCTGCCAAGTGACAGAAATCAAAAAGACTATTCTTCAGAGGCTCATATCCAATAAAAAGAAAGAACCACAAAGAACACGTCTAAGTCTCTAATCTTGGGTTGCAGTAGAACAATTGACCAAGCGGCTCTTGTTCTAAATCACGTATTGATGCATTATCTCGATGACATAAGTTAAATATCGATAAGTGTTTTAACAGTAATGCATCTATTTTTCCGATGTCTGAAATAGTCCATTATACTTCGTAAAAATACTAATTAATTTTGAATATTTTCTTTCGTCAATATGATATTTTTTTCTAGTCATTTATTTGTCACGCTCGGAAGCGCTTGCAGAAAAGGGTATAAAAAAGATGGACATATTCATCAATCTGGATACAATAAAAATAAGCAAACCATAACAGTATTACAACAAGATTTAAAACTGTATTTAGCTGTAAATAATCTAACTGGAAGGGAGTAAGGTTAATACGAAAACACGTAAGACTCGGATACAAAATTACATCAACAAAAAAAGAAAGGTATACATAGAGATATCACAGATTTCAGACATGCCAAAATAGTTATTACCTGTCAAAGAAAGAAGACAAAATAAAAATTAAAAAGTTAAAAATAACATATTGATAAGAGTCCTTATTTATACAAAATATATAAAGAGCATCAATTCTGTCAACTGTACTTAATAGCTGTAATGTATCATTAGCGTATTTACTTGAAACAATAAGAATATTCATTTCATTTTGAATTTTGTTCATTGATTCTATCAGTTACGTAAGAACTAAACACAATCCCAAATGATCATGAGTTTTTTTTGCGAATATAAGAAGAGCTTGACAGCGTAGACCTTTGGTCTAAATGTGGTTAGACATGCACCAGTTAAAAACTGGTGTTAGGGCTTCCACAAAAACTGTTACAAAACGTCTATAAATAATTACTCATAGTCGCGGAACGTCTCATTGCAGCCCCCTATAAGTAGGAAAATTTCAAAGTTATCTGCAATACAAACATGAGCATTTTAAGATGCACTAAATTCAGAAAAAACCGGTTTGAACAATTTTTTCTTTAGTGCATTTTAGAAGGCTCAGATTTTTTTGTTAGAAATAACTTCACATTTCTTTTCAAAGCTGAGTTTTCAATAAGAATTTCTCTACAAAATAAAACGTTTTGTGACTCTGAGTAATTCTTCATAGGCGACTTATAACGACTTTTGTGGAAGTCCTGACACCAATACTGGTGCATGCCTAAATGTAAAGCACCGCTGAGATTTGATTTAGTTTACTTTAACTATTTCTTTAACCTATACGAGCGCCTTACCTAAATATTTAGTGTCATAGATGATTATGCTCTTAAAAATAATCCATTTAAGAGTCCATGAGGCCATTTTAGAAAAATGTGTTTTTTCTTTTTTTTGAAAAAAGTTAGCTTAAATAATCTACAGATAGCATTTTTCTCTACATGGTATGTTGAACTTAACGACCTTTCTAATTATGCGTTCATTTGTTTCTATGCTCCTTTCGTGTCAGAGAGTGCGCGTGAAAAGGATTTCAATAGTGCTTGTAATGTCAGCTTCCAAGTGACGATCCTATCTTGATTGGAACTAGCTATAACCACTCAAAAACACCTAAAATCAAATATTCAGTTTTCCGCTTCTCACAGGACCATTCTTAGCAAAATACGGGAGACTTAAAAGACTTCTGAAATGGAGAGAATGGATAATTAAACATTATCATTGAAATAACGATGACCATGATGCAGATAGTGCTCGAATACGTATAATTTTCTCGAAGAAAATCGTTGAACAAATAAATACCATCTGCGTCATCCGTTGGGTATATGTTTCATGTTTATTTATTTAATCTTAAATTTTAATTTGTATTTAGCGTCAAGAAAATTTAATTGTTTAAATTTATTTTTGTTTATTCTATCATTTGTTATTATAATCATATATTCGTGTCAAAATGGTAAGAAAAAGGTTAATTATTTAATAAATCTTTCCATTTAACTTTAAAATTTGAAGATAAACTTTGTATTGTCGATGGATATCGTTTATCATCATATGATGTATAATCATTTAATCCATGACGTTTGACTACTTTTTTACGTACGGCCATCCAAGCACGACGTTGTTCCTGTGGTGGTATTTCTTTTGAATGATTTATACCTGTTTTCGATTTTTCATTCAGATCATCGAACCAATCTTTAGCATATTCTTGATAATAAGTGCTTATTGGAAAAAATTCTTTGTCACGAATTATAAATTTATCTATATGCCAATTTTGATAACATAATTTTAAATTAGGTAATTTTTCTTCTCCAATATTCCAACCTGTAAATGCCATTGATAGATGATGTTGACTGAAATGATGTTGATGATTTTCTTCATTATTTTCACATTTTGTACCACATCCAGGACATTTGCTTTGACATCCGAGTATACCTTTAATTAATGTTCTACATGTATGATTTGCTTCATAATGAAAATTTTTTCGAATACAATTAATTTCATTGGCAAGAAATGTTTCACTATCTAGTATATCCATTGTTAGAAAATATTGTTTAAATTGATATGAATTATCAATATCAAATGATGATTTAATATTTATATTTGATTGACTATTAAAACCTGGTAATATAAGACAAAGTTCTTTAATTAAATCAGCATATAATTGTTCTAAATTTTTACATTCATTATTTTGAATAACTTGTCCCACTTTTAGTAAACATTCATTTATTTTTTTAATCAATTCATTTACATTAACATTAACAATATGTTGTTTAATTATATCAATTTTATTAAAACAAATTTCTAAACAATAACGATTAATATTTTTAATATATTTTAAAATATTTTCACCATTAATTGGTTTAGAATTCATTGATTGTTCATAAGCATCATATAAAATATTTTGACTATTTATAGATGATTCATCAATTATTTTTATATAAAGATGATCAATTAAAATTTGTTTATAAATTCTATTACTTTCATTAACAATTTGTTTAACTAATAATTGTAAAAAAATATCTGCTTGTTTTTCAGTATTTTCATTATATGAATATTGTTTTATTATAATCGATTCAATATCATTAAGATCTGTTATTGTTGAATCTAACCATTGTCGATGTTTTGTTTTTTCTATATCAATTGCTTTATGAATTGATAATTTTAAAGCAATAAAAGTAAGATCACCTGTAATAGATGCTAAATTTAATGTTTGTTCTCTACCAGATATATGTCGTTTCATAACATTATCAATAATATTAATAAGATTAGCAATAGTTTCTGGTATAGTATAAGATATTTCAATAGTTGATAAAATAGATTTAATTTCTTTACTCAATTCTGGTAATAATATATCAAATATATTAATTAAAGATTCTTCATTTTTTTTATCATCATCAATATCAATAAACCAATTTCGAAAACGATCTTTATATTCATTAAGTAATGGTTCTAATATAAAACTTGTTTGTTGTTTTATACTTTTTAATCTTTTACTACCAGTTAAAATATGTGGTTCAATAAAATTAGTCCAAAAATATTCATGTGTACGACATTGTTCAAGATATTTTTGACGATTAAATTGTGGACAACGTGTATAAATATCATGTTTTTTTGCTGGTTCAGAACGAATAAGTCCATTATAAATATTTAATGTTGTTTGAATAATATCATCATCAGATTTTTTAAATGATTCGGATATTTGTATTATTTCTAATTGTAATTGTAGACGTTTTTGTTCCAAGGCTATTTTTAATTTATCATTTTTTGATTCTGAACTACATGCTATAAAATATACAAAACAAAAAGTCAAACGAGAGAGAAAAATATTTTCAAAGAATTCACAAAAGAATGTTCACCTGAATTCAGGTGTCCTCGAAATGCAGTGGATAGCAGTCGGACAATCAAAATTTCTGAATTTGTCAATTTAAGGAGTTCATCGAACGAGTACGGCAGAAGGAAAGGATTCTTCATTTTTTTCTGCTTATCTTGTATTTCTTCAGTCCGCTAAAATTAATCTATTTTTGAAAGATTTGACATTGACTCTTCTATACCAACGTTTCAAGAGGTTTTTCAAAAAAATGTGAAAGCAAAACGTTATGTGAATACGAATTACGGGAAGCTTCTAAACGGCTACAAAAAGGCTAAAGAATTGCTTTTATATCATAAAGAATCAGGCAGTAAAACCAAAAAGCCTGTTTCTAGCGGTGAAGAACTGATGGCACAGAAAGAGCGGTCACTTTCGTTGTTCTTTTTCGTTCGAGGAGTGCGGTGAGTACTCGAAAATGGGTCCTCACCAAGAGCTCGACCCCTGACTATTATGTGGTTTTTTGAACAATAATATAGCAATCCACAGAAAAGAGTGGTATGAAAAGGTTTGGCGGATTAGTGTTATAATCCAGAATACGTTGCTTTTTCGCTTGGTCATTAAAGTCTGAACATTTCAGTGTGCAAATTAATCAACACTTTCGGACAATCTGAGGTTTGAAAACAGGTGCGAAAAGGACTAGCAAAAAGTCGCACTGTAAGCTTAACCACTTGTTCGAGGAGTCCCGCGAGTAGTCGAAAATACGCTTTCGATGGGCCCTGGTCGATGGCTCGATCCCTCAAAAAATGAGACACCGGACCTCTGATATAAGCGTTTGAGGGGCTATCAGACTTTTGTTAATGACACAACGTTTACAATAAATGTTTCTGTTTTATCAGATGTTCGGGTCTGAGATGGTTAGCGAACCCCCGTGAAAAATTCCGAACCGTCGAACAGAGATGCTCGGAACTTCTGAACCCTCGTCGCATCCTAAGGCGATGAAGGCTCGGAAGTCTTTTCGTCTGCTTGGATCCCGAACATCTCTGTTCGACGGCTCAGAATTTTTCTCGGGGGCCTGCTGCCTATCTGGAACTGGAGGGCTCGAAATTGATAACCGTTCAAATGCTTATATTGAAGGTCCGAAGCCTCATTTTTCGAGGAACCGAGCCCTCGGCGAAGGCTCATCGAAAGCGTATTTTTGACTACTCGCGGGACTTCTCGAACAAGTAGTTGGCCTTACACTATGATTTTTTGCTAGTCCATTTCGTGCTTATTTTCAAATCCCTGATTGTCCGAAGGTGTTGATTAATTTGCACGCTGAAATTTTTAGAATTTTAATTGACCAAACGACGAACCAGCGTATTCCTATTGACAATATTAATGGCCGCTGCGCTTCTTACTCTGAACTATTTCTTTAAATAGTAATGAGAGAAAGTAAAGGGTTTTGCAGAGCAGAAAATTCTCTATGCTTTGAGTCTTGAAAAACCTTTTGAAACGTTCTTGAAAAAGAGTCAATCTTTCAATCTTTTAACAATAGCTTAAGTTCAGCGTACTGAAGAAATGCAAGATAAGCAGGAAAGATGAAAGACCATTTTTTCTACCACATCCGTTAATCAATTATACCTTCAACTGGTTGGTTGCTATGACATCGATTTAGATTTAATCCTTGGAAAAAAGTACGGTTTATATCCTGGAAACGGAATGATCATGACAGACGCGAAAGTACAAAAAACTCATGTGTCATATGAATCCCAATTGTCAGTTTAAACTTAATTTTCCTGTTTTCGGCCTTCGCTCAAAATTTTTGAGCTGACAACATAAGTAAAGCGTTTATAAACTAGCATTAAGGTTCCTCTCAGATCGAAAATCTGTCTCGATAACCACAAATCAGATTTGCACTAAAAAACTTCTAGAGAATGTGAACCGTGTCAAAGTATCGTATTGAAATTTTTCTAAGGTTTCATTTACTTCCATTCGAGATATCACCACAACAAGGAGCAAAATAAGACCTTTGATTAAAACAAAATTTTCATTCTAGATAGACGATGGAAAGCTCGAATTAATTTTGTTTTGCAGTAAACACTTATGGTTAGGAATTGACACAGCTCGGTTTCAAATATTTTTCCTTGTTAGTTTGATTTCTCCAAATACAAAATTCTGGAGATGTGAGAGTCAGTTCCAACATATACTGGCGCTAATGTACCGGATGTCCTAAAAAGATGGTTTGCTTTTTGTTTTGGGTATATTTCAGTATAGACACCGGATAAAATCTGAATAGTTTGTAAAAGATGTGCCGTTTAATCTTCTACGAAAAACTTACGGAACATTTTTCTGTATGCTTAACATTAAAAGAATATGTACTGCGAAACTTCAAACTAGATTATTTCCTAATCCAAAAACTATTTTTTAATTATAGTCCTTGTCATTTAACTGTATAAGAGAAGAAAAGAGATAAAGAGTATTACTAATATTCTTTTTATTCATTTTGTCGTAAATCGATTATGTTTTAAAGATTAATTTTTGATTTTACCAAATTTATCATTTTCAGATCTTGTTACACCTCTAAATCTAACATACTTTCCACCATACTCTTCCATTTTAAGACACCCAGAAAAATATTTCGTATGTTTTTCGTCGAGAACTAAATGGCACATCTTTTTAAAAAACATTCAAATTTTTACCATATGTCTGCGCTGATATATATGCAAAGCAAAAACGAGCAATCTTTATAGGACACTTGATATGGCACATATTTTGAAGATTCTAGCAAACCTATCATAATTTTGATTGGAAAATTGCGAGAGTTAGAGACATATATTTTGAACAGAAATATTTGCTCTACAAATTGGCATTTTTGAAAATATTTTCTGGCCTCGATTTTCTACGGTTTGATAGAACATACTGTGGGCTATGTCCTTAGATCAATATCAACTTTTTGCAGAAATGTTTTGTGTTTCTTATTGGAAGAAGAGTGTACACTCGATAAAGATATAAAATTGACAGATATAGGTAACTCGATATGCTGTATAATTTGGCAAAGTCAGAAATTGGTTTTGTGACAATAAATTTGGTTCTTGACATTTAACTTTAAGAAAAGTAGATCTTCAGTATTCTGTCAAAATGAGAGAATAGGACTGTAAAAGTTCCCGTTACGTTGATTTAACGCTAACTATGTTTTTCGTTACCGTTAAAGTAACGATAAATCAATAGTTTTCCACTAAAACTGTTGAAACTTTCATAAGTGATATGATTTTGATTGGTACATTAGCACACACGTGCCAACCAACTAAACTAATCGAAATTATATAACTTCAATGTTTTGTAATCGAGGTCTCTGGAGACATTAGCATCTACATTCAACTTGAAAAATCTTTTTTTGTTTTCATCAACAAAATTAGACTATAAAACCATGTCATTTATGAAAGTTTCAACAGGTTTAGTGAAAAACTAGAGATTCTGGAAGCCATTTTCAGCCGCTGCGTGGATATTTGTGACATACTTAAAACATAGTTACCATAAATTTAACTAACTGATAGTTACTTCAACGTTAACTGTCTTTTCAGTTACCGTTGGTTTAACGCTAACCAAAAAGACAGTTGTCGTTACTTTAACGGCAACTGTTTCGCTAATTACCGTTGTCGATAACGGCCGAAGAAGTAACCGGAACTTTTACAGTCCTATGAGAGAAATTTACGTCATCTAGACTAGGCATGGGCGAGTCCGAGGAGTACCGAATCCGAGTCCTTAAAAAGTTAAGCCGAGTTCGAGTCCGAGTCCTTGACACTAAGGACCGAGTCCAAGTCCCGAGTCCATTTCGAGTCCGGTAATTTTTTAGATTCTTTCTTTGATGCGTGTGGTTTATTTCTCTTTTATAATTTACTGAGCCCTGGATAGATATTTGATTTGTCGAAAATAAGATTACTTTGCATGTCTATTTCCTGAACAAAATTTTCA